CCCCAAAACCCCAAAACCCCAAAACCCCCACAATTCTACCCTATAATTTATTAACAAGCATGGAGGCCCATCCACCCAAAGCCAGGAAGAGGAAAACTAATTCTGAACGGTCAAGAGAGTTCAGAAAAAGGAAGAAGGCTTTTGTCCAAGATAAGATTAAGCAGGTTGAAGCATTAGAAGAAGAGGTGAAGGAATTGAGGAAAGAAAATAGTGAGATGAAGGAGATGATAAGGATGTTGGAGGGAAGGAAGGTGGGGGGAGGGAGTAAGGGTGTGAGTGGGCATGCTGGGAATATACAGAAGCGTACTTTTGATAATACCTTGCAGGAATATGAGGACTATTTTTATAATAGTTTGTCGAAAAAGCTTCAAAGTAATCCTGATGAAGTCAGATTCTCGATGATAGAGCAGACTTTTGAGCATGTTTATGATTGGAGGTAATCTTAATTTAAATATTTTAGTGATGACAGGATATCATTCATAAAGAAATGATTTAAAGGTACCATTGTAGGTTAAATTGTAGATATTCTTGACAATATGCTAAGTCTTGAAACCAAATGTTATCAAACTTGTCTCAAGAATTTTCCTTTATCTTCATTTGTAAAGAATCAAAGAAATAAGAGAAGACACAAAAAATATTTTCAAAAATCTACTGACAATCTTACACCTAAAGAAATATCGACTAACATCCAGTTAAGAGATGAAGTAATAGATTTTGTTGACAAAAATTCAAAATATTTTCATAATTGGATGAAACAAGCAAGGAAAATGTAATAAATAAAAATAATTCTTAGAGCCAAAGAATTGATTATCCTGCGTAACAATTTACTCAACTCCTACCAATCCCAAAAAAAAGTCTTCGAAAGCTCTGGCTACTCAAACTGGTTCAAAAAATCCGACCTCATAAACACCCTCAAGCTCGTGGACCAGCTCAAAAACACCAAATTCCTCACCCCTCACTATCTCTACAACATCCCTCCCAAAACTCACTCAAACCCCAAATACGAAGAGGGAGAACTTACTGAATAACCCAATATTTCAACCACTCATATTCCCTAAGGGGTTTTGGGGTTTTGGGGTTTTGGGG